TAGAGGTTGTTGAGAGTTGAGAGTAAAAACACAGAAATAGCAGTTTTATTCAGTCACATATTTTGCGAAACTCAACCTTTCGACTGCAAATAACGACACCTGTTGGGAATGAAATCAACCTGAAACTCGGTCATGTTCGGTATATTCATTCTGACTTGATCGACCTTATCAAAATAGAACAGTGTGTAGCTAATACACGAAGCACTTAGTTTTGAAGTCCATAACTTCCGCCTAGCTAAAATGTCCAAATGGTTTTGAAGCAATGGAAGTAGACTGGAAAATGCGAGGCATTGAATCATAAGAGGGCTCCCGGGAACAATCCAGTTGACCGCTCCAATAAACCTGACTTACTGATGACAGTGTTGCAGATATGCGACTAGCTGTTGATATATCGAACACAATGAAAGTAGGATGGATGTTCGAAACAGCATGTGCCAAATTTACCCGCCTGTGGTTGGACAGAAATACTTCAAGCGCACGAGCTACCAATCAATAGTCAAACGATTGGTTGTAGATCAGGTGGCTGTTGATCTGTTCGTAGAGTTTGGAAGTTTACTTACAAACGTTTCGTCACCATCCTTGGAGGCACCATCAGTTCACGCACCCGAGCCGTCAGTATTTCAGTATAATGCCACTAGTCAAACGATAGTCAGTCCGGTATCTAGCTGTGAAAAGACCTAGTACCACGTAGGTAAAGGCCAATGGATGTACTAATCTGCGAACTGAGTGTTTATTCGTACCATCATAGAAAACCGATTTCTTCGCATCGTTCGGCAGAACGTTTAATCATCAAAACCGTCACTACCCAAAAAATGAACAGTGACAATTTTCGTCCAAACAAGCCCATTCATTCATCCACCGGCAGCTGCAAGAAATCACTAGTATCATTATACTGCAACACAGTTGACGAAATAATTCTATTAAAGAACGGTTTGAATGCGTTGAGCGGAGCGCGCATTTCAATGGTGATTTTTTCCAACCCAGGACGAATTCGAAAACGCAATTTAAGGCACCCACCAAGACAGTTGCGCTGTGTGCTAAACTTCCTCACCTGCTGATGACTTTTCAACACATGCGTCGATCTGCTGACAATTGAGGCTGGGTAGCCAAGCTTCCAGCGCAGGCGACAGATGTCTCACAAAAACCTGTGCACACGCAAGTGGCCTCAAATCAAATACAGGCGTCTGTTATTGACTTCACACAGCCATTGGTGATGACTCACCAACTGAATGTGCTTAAAAACACCATAAAAGAGAGACTTAGCTGGACTCCAGGTGAGTCTCCCACAAAACCAAATTGTTTTGTAAATGAGAGTGTATTTCGCTAATTTCGCTAATTTCGCAATCAGAGTTCAACGGGAACATGAATTTGACGGCAACTCGAGGACTGCGCCCACCTGAAGAGCCCCAAGAAGGGCGAAACTGGTCGTGGGCTGTCGAAGAATTTCCAGCAGTTTTATGAGTAATGTATTGCGTCTTAGTTTAATTCCATTTTACCTTATCACATCACAGCCTGTCCCCCACAAACTTCTCGACAACATATTCTTCGGTAGACGGTAGTTAGGCATACGTAATACATATTCCACCCATCTCAACCTGATAAGTCTAACCTGCTACTTTAACTATTTGGATTTGTTACTAAGCCCTGGCTTACGCACTAGCTCTTTACGTACTCGCTGGAATCAACCAACTATTGTTACGCCATGTGGACACCTGTGATCAAATGTTTGAGGACGCCTAAGGTCCTCAGGTTACAGGAGCCGAGTCTCACAAACACTGAATGAGACCGTACTTACAGTTGTCTCGTGTACACGATTTTTTAGCTTCAGCCTTGACTAACTCAAGTTAGTGAATGCTGCTTACGCCTTGTTTTTTTTCGTGCATTGACTTTATCTGTTACAAAGCAACCACGGGTTATGCAGCTACCAAGATATGTGAACCGATTAACAAGCTCAAGCTATTCCTTCTTGATTTTCAGAGAAGCACAAGGAATGGGATATCTTGAGTTAAGACTTTGCATGTTGAAGGTGCAAAACGCACGCCGGAACATGGGCTCACTTCGGATATTTTTTTGTTCAAAATACTCTACGCGGACCAGTAACAGACGAACAATAGAATGACGTTGTCCGCATAATCCAAATCCATTAGTCTCTCTCTCCGGACATAATTTCGATACTAAGACTCACGGTCGCATGGTGTGCACCTTGTGATGATGACGATGACAAGGCGGAAGACAGAAGAGAGGGTAAGTTCTGATGAACTCCACTATTTTTCAGGAAGCTTCTAGATATTTCATGGCACACATCAACTCGATGGGTTTTTTGGGGAAAGGGTACGAAATTTCACGAAACTCAATGGCATCTTTCTCTGACCAAGAATATTCGAGAGAGTTCATTTTTCGACAGAGTCAAAAATCATTTTAAAATTGAAGAAAACCAGGTTCCTTGACTGACGGTTTACATGATGCTGCTAAAGCATTTGAGGTAATGTAGCGAATTGATCAACACACATTCTGGTAGTTCGATATTCTGTTTGATACTGTCGAAAATGCTTCTCAGGTGCTGAAAATAGGCGCCGCAACATAGGGAAGCCAGTAGTCATGTTACATGGGCATGAAACATATAACCACGTGGCTGAAACAGTCGGCTCGCGTGCCTTATTTAAATACGGTACGTCCACCAGTAAACACACCCGAGCTACTTATATTTCGATAAATTGACAAGAAAGGCATATTGATACTGTATCCAATGAGGGGGAATCAAAACTCAAAGACCGCAGATCAAATAAGCGGTTAAAATGAAAGACAAGTGCACTGGTCGATGGCCGACTAAGCTGGCGTTTAGATTATTCTGCCGAGCGATATAGACGCTAATCTTTATTAGATTTACAACAGTATCTATGATTAAAACGCTTGCGGAAGGCCTTTTGAGGCCATGTTTTGTGGATTAGCTGGGACAGTGTCCATGCGTTCCCAGCCGCATCGGGCTCTTGCATTTCTCTAACTTTCTGATTCCACCGAGCTTCTCTGTCCACACACAGGTTAGATTTGAGCTGTCGTTTAATCGATCGTCTAGCTGCAGGGGAAAAAGTGACTCGCATCAAGAGGTGATAGTGATTGTTCTGTGATCCAATGCATTCCGTGCATGCACTCAGAAGCACCACGAACAGGGCTGTCACGTATAGCCAAGGCTATTTTGTCTCGGTTACTTTCAATGTCCTCCTAGGGTACTGCTTGTAATGCACTGCACAGTAGGTTTGGGTATGTTGTTGTTCAGAAGGCATTTCTGCTGTGGCTGATTAAGCGAAGTGGAGGCCCTACAGTACTACTGAATGAGGAGATCGTCGCTGGAGTTTACTAGGGGAAAGCGTGATCTGAATCAACTTGTATATTCCAAAACGATCGGCAATCGAATTTGGGTTGGAACTACCCTGGTGATATTGTGGTCACTGTGATTCCAAGAGTGCCCAGCGATGCGGGGAAGCCAGGTAAAAAAACCCCGCCCTCACGTTCAAACCAAGAACTTCTGGGAATCACCTGGTGGTCATTAGAAAGTTGAAAATGGCGTTCGGAACTGTTATTGAATTTTATGTTCAGGCTGAGCATAACACCAAGGCGTGCTTCTGCTGAAAGTGCGTGTCCTATTTGTGCAATGAAATCTCCTGCTAATATTACTATATCCGAGCTCCCAGTGGTGGACAACAGTGTAGTCCATTCTCGATTGGAATCATTCAAAGAATAAGAGCTACGGTTGTTTGGTTTATACATAGACCAGTATTTCACCCAAGGCGAGTTTTCATCGAAGTGACTGGACAGCTCAGGGACGCTTGTTTACATTTACCCAGTTTAGCAGTGAAGCCTCAGCATGCAAACCTGGAGCGGTGCTAGCATCGGAGTGACCCATTGCAGCAGCTATAGGACCGTTTGAATGCGAATAGGTTGCCGAAAGCTCAGTAATTGTAATTGGACCTTGTGTTCGAGTTTGAGAGATTCAACAGACTTGGCTGTTAGTCTGTTCACCGAGCTTGGCAGTTGGATCGCAAACGTTTCACTACTAATCGAGTTGAGATCGTCAGTGCGAAGTTGAGTGGGTTTCGAGTCAGCAGACGACAATTGATAGAGTATACAGAATACGTTTGTTGGCTGAACTCGAGAATCCTCACATTAAAGATGAAACAAAAACGGAAGAACCAGGCCTGAATACCGGACTTGGAGCGGTAATGTGGACGGTGGCGTGCAGTGTTTCAATTTCCCAGCTATCCCAATGATGTGCCTACAGCTGGTACCGACATAAGAGTGTTAAACCGGACAAGAAGTCAAGAAATGACGGCCAAGAAGAATGAGTGGGGTCAGCAGTCGAATGTTTTCGTTTACAAACCCTGCCGTATGCAACGAATAATTCAACTCGGCCGATGTCACCATGCGAATAGCAACATGGCCTTGCAGGTAATCTTATCTGCAAACTCCACGAGTACATTCGGGCTGATTTCGATAAGCCAGCAAGCATTGCGGCCTTGTGTTCACTTGTTCCACCTCCAAACAGAGTCTGAGAGCCGAGATGGCACAAGTGCACTCTAGCAGTCGCCGAGTCAAGGCATGCTTAACAGGCGTTGGCGAAGGACTGGGTGCGAAGGGTTCGACCAATCTCGAATGCCAGACCGCCTAAATCACTCGGCGAATGAAGAAAATCAGCCTGTCGACAGACTACCGCACGGACCAAATTAGTGCCTTTAAGCACCAGTTCCAACATGGGTACCGCAGTCTAACGGGCCCTTGACAAACGCTCGTCCTCGTAAGGCCCATACCAGCTTGCTAAGTCAGTCACGCTGTCCAATAATCACGCGGCGACAGCATGCTGGCAGACGAGGCTACGCCCACGCATCTATCGAACCACGGTTAACTGCGCTCGTGATTGGCTGTGGCATAATGCGCATTTCGCACACCCATTGGTCGAAACGAATCAAGATAAGTGACAGATGCGCCAGAGAGCGTCAGGCCGGAGGCTGTGGAGTACTGGTTTGTGTGCGGTCTCCGTGCCGTCGGAACAGCCTTCCGTCTGGATCACTATTCTCCTTGTGGGCTTCAACAAGCGTCACAAAATGCTTTACTCCCTGCTTTCCTAATAACGCGCGTTGGGTAGGGAAATGAGTATTGCAACTCAGAATGGAGGGCGCTGCTCTTCACTACCCCCTTCCACACTCAACAACGAAGACTGTCTCGCTGTTTTGGATTTATCGGCTGAATCAATAGTAACAAGTCGAATACCGTCTTCCATACTACAACACAATTCGAAAGAACGGCATAAAAATGGTGAGCTGGAACCGAATGATGTCGCACCGGGTCCAACATATTTTAGCTCGTGCAATGTGTTCCAGTCTTATCCGACATCAGAAGACTCCCAAGTACACAAGTCAACTAGAGTTTCTCCGAGTGGAAGCAGCATGGTAACAGACGAAGATAGTGGTTACGGGCAGATCGCACATCCAGCATTCGGACAAACCGGGTCCTCAAGTTCCATAGCAAACTCAGGGTTGTCTGTGGCGGATAACAGCATGTCAGACAGTGCGCCACGTGACGAACTACTTATTGTGATGACAGAAGATCTTGTTGATTGGTTTCAACGAATGTATCCTAGACTATCGGAAAATTTTGATGTGGACAACTTTTTTGAGAAATTATCAGACGGGGTACTTCTTTGTCATTATGCCAATGATTTACACCATCTACTGACCGACCATTGCTCAAAAACACGCAAGGATGGGCGCTTACAGCTGAACGGAACACGTATTGGTGGAGTTCAGGCGTACTTGCCAGCTGGTTGTCCTATTTACCAGACGCGCGGTTTACAAGGCTCCAGCGCTACTTGTGGTTTCGTTTCTAGGGATAATGTATCGAACTTCTTAACATGGTGTCGTCAGCTGGGGATGCTAGATTCAGTATTGTTTGAAAGTGAGGATCTGGTATGCAGGAAAAATCCACGGAACGTTGCAATATGTTTACTGGAATTAGCTCGTCTTGGGGGTCGGTTCGGTATGGCAATACCTGAATTAATCCAACTGGAAGTGGAAATTGATGAAGAACTTGCAACTGAATCACACGACAGTCGGTCCCTTACTCAACGCAGTTCGGAAACATCCTCCAGCTCATCTTCTATCACTGAACACGATAGGATATTATATTGCCGAAAGGCATCTTGTGGAGTAGACAAACATGTTGCCGAAAGCAAACTACGGGAACCTGTGTTGGGTTCCGGGTTTTGCTGTTCTACTGGGGAGCAAGAAAGAGAGGCCATCCCCCGCGATAGGGCTTACAAAACCAATCGTTCGAGCGAGCTGAGGAAATTGAAGAAACAACAAGATTATTCAGTCAGAAAGCATACGTCTAACGTAAAAGAAGCAGTCGTATCTGGGAAAAGAAAACCAGAACTCAACCGACCCGTAGTGGACATGCGTTCCCTGGATGAAATCGTGAGTGGCTTTCTCTTTATAGTTACTACGCTTTCACATCCAACATGAGCTAAATATCCATGTGCGTAACCGTGTAACCTCAGGCTCCCCTTATGGGTTTCAAGTGAGCTCGCGGTAGCCCAGTTATTAGGGCGCGAACATACTGACTGGAAGGTTCGTTGTTCAAATTTAATTTCGGCATCCCGGCTGCTTCTGTTTAAACTTGAGCAACCTGTCAGTATCTCAGCACTCGTGTCTCCTTTTGGTGGTATGTGTGTTGCGTCGCATCCTGACGATTAAATTATTATTATTATTA